CTCCTTGGGTTTCTGAGGCAGTATCACTACGGAAGTAGATTGCCCCATCTTCCTTCTGAGGAGTGGCTGGTGGGTTTGAACCGCCAGCCTTCTGGTCAGCAGTCAAGCACCTTAGGCACTATGCTACCAGAACTCCCGAAACAACATATACACACATTTAAAATCATTATGGGAACAAGTATAACACAGAGAGACTTTAACCACTTAAGATAAGGAAGCCAAAAAGTGAGCCTGCTTAAATCAGCTGTATCTGAGTGGCAGCTGTGTCTTGTTGAAGCTCCTTAACAGTTTGGCTGAGAACTTTGTCAGTCCTTTTCACTTGGGTTGGAGGGATTCTTTCCAGGTTCGTAGTCTGCTCTCTGGGAGGAAAGGGTGAGCTGGAGCGTTAATGGGTTATTTCTGAAGCAATTGGGAAAACTTATGAATTAAGGAAAGCATAGCAGACAGACTTAAGTAAAAATAGATTCCTTCAAATATAAAGAGTTGGTCCCCATTTGTCAGCCTGGTATTTCTGGAAAAGGGCCTGCTAAACCAGAGCTCAAATGGGCTCAATTGTAATTCATCTCTGGGCGCTTTAGGCACTTGTAACAGGGCAATTGGCAGCATCTCTCTCCTGTCATTTTGATCTGTTGGCAAATTTTTGCTATTTGTCTTTTCATTATTTGAGTATTTTCCTTTTGATGGGTTTTTTCCATGCATGACAGAGATAGAGTTAAAAGGGTTTGTTCAGGTTTGGGAGGCCTAGACCTGGGGCTTTTATCAGTCTGAGTTTCAGCATGTCAAAGGCTGTTGTTGGCCCTCTTCAACAGAACAGGTTAGAGTTTTTACCTTTAGTGGCTTCATACAGTGATTTTGCAATTAATTCAGAACTAGAGATTCAGGTTGGACAAAATCCTGCTATTCTTAGGAAACCTAGTAACGAGTGATGAGAGGGACTGCCAGTCTGCAGATTGCCTCTTTTCGCTCTGGCATCAGTTCTTGTTGTCCCTGGGAAATTAAGCATCTTAGACACTTTACCTTCAGCAAGGAGCTCTGGTGGTGTAGTGGTTAAGGCATTTGGCTGCTAACCAAAAAGTTGGTGGTTCGAACCCACCAGCTGCTCTGCAGAAGAAAGATGGGGCAGTCTGCTTCTGTAAAGATTTGTTGTTGTTGTTACGTGCCGTCAAGTCAGACCCGACTCACAGCGACCCCTCCTTGGCTTTCCAAGGCGGTATCACTAGGGAAGTAGATTGCCCAACCTTCCTTCTGAGGAGTGGGTGGTGATTTATAAATTTATAGCCTTGGCAACCCAGTGCAGCACACTATGAGTCGGAATTGACTCAATGGCAGTGAGTGTTTTGTTGTTACCTTGAGCTGAGCTATCTGGGCCTTGATCTTGAACATCTGGTAAGCAACTGATTTGGGATTGGTTTCAATCCAGTTCAAGCTTCCGTGTGAAGTAGGTATAGTCGCACTTTCTGGCAGCAGTCTAACACTCACAGGGGCCATGTTCCTTGCTCATCCTTGCTTCTTTAAAGCCCAAACTCAGGGGGTCACTGCAAGGTTGATTTCAGATGGAAGATCTGCCGTTTCAGTCTGAAGGGCTAGGAGACAGGCTCGTGTTTTTTAGCCCTGCTTAGGAGGCACAGAAACAGTTCATTGTTCCTTCTGAAAGTGAATTTAGGCTTGTAATTTACACAGCCAGTCTTTTCCTAGCAGAGGGGCTGCACATTGAGACATGTAGAGAAGGTCATGGGTTGTACTATTCTGGTTATACTAAGCACACTGGTTCTTTCTCAGTCGGGGATGGTTCCCATGGATGCCTCCAATGCCACCCTCTTTTCTCATTTTGATTGAGGGTCACTGTTAATAACGATGCCTGTGCTTTTACTTTCTGTGATTTTTTCTTTCTTGTGCCTGTTCTCAGTTTCCTTGCCCATTCTCTATTCCAAATTCATCACTACTGCAGGTATGAGAAGGGCCTGTAAAACGCATTTCTCCACAAAGGAGAGTCTAAGTCTCAGAGTGATGGGCTGAGACATACTACTGCATTTTCATGGCTGGAAGGGTCTGAGGGAACATCTAGTAAACCTCATGGGGAACTTGAGGCCCAGAGACGCTAATGGATTTGCCTTTAGTCACATAGCATTTGGGAAGCAGAGCTGGGATAGAACCCAGGAAACTCTTATCTCTGGGTCCAAGATCCAGCCACCAGGTTGGGTTGCAGTTCATTGTCTCAGGACAGTGTGTGGAAGAGGGATTGGCTCTGATCTAAGAATGTTGCTCAACCCCAGGAGATGGGGAGCTTCCGGTCTTGGAGCTGATGCAGGGTGGAGTTCCTGTTGAGAGTGGGAGGCAGGGAGGGTGCCTCTTGGCTTTGCCATCCAGGTGTCTGTTTCTCTTGGAGACACTAATCACAGGCAGCAACTGGGGCATCTGGGACAGTGTTAGTGTTGATGGAGGGTGCAGCAGGTTCAGAACTGCAGAAAGGTGGAGGGGATGGCCTCAAGACCTGGCTTTCCTCCTTTTGCAGGTGTAGCCTGGGTATGAAGAAGCTCTTCACCGTCGCCATCTTGGCGGGCAGCGGTGAGTAAAGTCTCTGAGGGAGACTCCTCCTTCTCTCCCCTTCCCTAGCCCTTCTCCATGAACTTGGGCACCCTGGGCTTGAGTCTACTGGCAGTGAGAACTTGGACCTGTCACTTCCTTTCTCTGGGCCTCAATTTCCTGTTTCAGCCTCGTGCCAGGCTTCATCTTCCATTCTGGGGCTGTTTACTCCTCAGTGGCCTGTCAACACAACAGGATCAGTCGCATTTACGAGTCTCAGGGGCCAGGGCTCAGAGCTGAGCAAACATCATAAAATGGTGGTGTTTGTTGGGCACCTGGGGCCCCCAGCAAGCTTTGGGTGTTTGTGTGCTTAGCAGTGTGTAATTGTAAAAGTGTGTACATGTGGACATGAGATCATGAGTTTGCATGTGGGTATTCAGCATGTATCTAATGTGTGTGAAGGGGTGTCTGAGAATAATGGGGTGCCTGTATGTATAGCACAAGTGAATAAAATGTGTGCCCATTGGCACCTGAGTGTATGAGTCTATCTGTGTCTATTGATGTGTGCATTAATGTGGAGGGTGGGAGCTCTGATGGCACAGTGCCTAAGGCACTTGACTGCTAACCAGAAGGCTGGCGGTTCAAATCCACCAGCCACTCCTCAGAAGGAAGGTGGGGCAATCTACTTCCATAGTGATACTGCCTCGGAAACCCAAGGAGGGGTGGCTACGAGTCGGGTCCGACTCGACGACACATAACAACAACAACATTAATGTGGAGGGTATGTTTATAAAGTGTGTATATGAATGTGTTATTGTTGTTGTTAGTGCCTTCAAGTCAGCTCAGGCTCTGACTCACGGTGATTACTTCCATATAAAAGCACAAAACACTCTGCAGTCTTGCAACGTCTTCCTGATTGCTGGTACGTGCGAGGCCGTTGTTGCAACTGTTGTGTAAATCCATCTCATTGAGGGCTTCTCTCATTTTCACTGATTCTCTACTTTACTACCACAATGTCCTTTTCTGGTGACTGGTCTTTCCTGACAATGTGTGTAAGTAAGCAAACTGAAGTCTTGCCATCCTTGCTTTAAGGTTCATTCTAGTTGTATTTCTTCTAAGACAGGTTTGTTTCTTCTTGTGGCAGTCCACGATATTGGCAGTATCCTTTGTCAACACCACAATTTATATGAATGTAGGGGTGTATATATGCGCATACAAGTGTGTATGTAGGAGTGAATACACGTGTGTGAATGTACAAGAAAAAATACATCTTCACTAACAGTGGATGTATGGTGGAGGAGGGTGTGGAGACATCTCTCCTGGCAGTACTCCAGGGCACCATGGATCAGAAGGAGTCACCCACACTATTGTCAGGTGAGACTTTGGACGCGTATCAGGCCCTTGCCATACATCCAGATGCATGTGACTCAGGTATGTGAATGTGGACTGAATTCTCGCTGGTTTTTCATACAGCCTATTCACCATTGTCTGAACACAGACTGGCTTGAAGAAAAAAAAATACATACCAGACACACAAACAGACCGAAAAAAAAAAGGTTACATTTGGCTAGACATGAGAAATTGTTGGTTGAGTTCAGGCAAAGTGACCTATAATTTGGAAAACATTGGTTAGGACAGAGCCTTGAGCCTGACCGAACATGGACTTTGTTGCTTATGTTTGGAGACTAAGTATGGACATGACCTCAGCTTCCAGACACTGATTCTCCCTCGGTGCTGTGTGAGTGTATATATTTGTGATGGTGAAAGTGTGAGTGTGTGTGCAAGCATGAGTGTGTACAAGTGTGTGAGTGTGGTGTGAGATGTGTGTGTCTGTGTGTGAACATGTGAGAGAGGTGTGAGTTGTGTGTGTCTGTGTATGAGTGTATATGAATTGTGAGATGTGTAAATTGTGTATGAGCCATGTGGGTGTGTGTGTATACAAGTGTGTGAGATTGATGAGTGTGAGCTGTGTGAAGTATGTGTGTTTGAGCATGTGTGTGAGTATGTGAAGTGTGTAAAGGTAGTGTGAAGTATGTGTGTGTGTGTTTCTGAGGTATGTGTGTGTGTAAGGCATGTAGAGGCAGTGTGTTTGTGTGTCTTGTGTGTGAGGTGTGAGTCTATGAGAGAGACTGTGTGTGTGTGTGTGTGTGTGTCTGTGTGTATGTATCCACCCTGTGTGTGGCCTGGTCAGTTGCTCACTCTTCTGTTATAACGTGGCAGAAGATGATGGTGGGGGAGTCCTGAGGGCTGAAGCCGCCCTCCCTGCAGGGTAACATCTGCACGGTGGTGGTGGGGATGGGAGGTGGGGGAAACTTTCCAGGCTGAGGGAGTAAGAAGGACAGGTCTTCCCAGATGTGAGTCCCTCTTCAAGGCACTGCCTAGGCTGGGTGTTCAACGCACTCCTGACCTCCCCAGGCTCTACAAGGACATGTTATTATCCCCAGTCCTCAGATTTAGGAATTGAGGCCAAAGAGGTTAAGTGACTTGCCCCATGTCCCACAGTACTGATAAACCTGTTTTCAAAGCCAGGTCTGCCTGTCTCTGCGCCTGCTCTGCCCACATTTTACTGGAGCAGCAAGAACCAGAAGAGTGGGAGGAGGGGACAGGGGCAGGAATTAATGATCTGGCAGGCTCACTCCCGTCACCTACTTTCTATTCAATAGCGATTTCAGGCCAGATAGCCTTTTGCAGGTCAGGAGACAGAGGCCAGGCCCTCTGAATGCCCTTGACCCCAACTTGGACATTTATGGGGCTTTAAACCAATTTGGTTTTTTTCTTAATATGGTTCTCCCTATTCCTTCCTCGTAGGAGCTCTGGTAGCATAGTGCCTAAGGCACTTGACTGCTCACCAGAAGGCTGACGGTTCAAACCCACCAGCCACTCCTCGGAAGGAGGGTTTGGGCAATCCTACTTCCGTAGTGATACTGCCTCGGAAACCCAAGGAGGGATCGCTATGAGTCGGGGCTGACTCGACGGCAAACAACAACAACAACAAATTCCTTCCTCACCTCCTCTCGTATTTGCTCCCTGTTCTCTGTAGTGATGAAAACCATGAAACCAAGAGACAGGAAGACTGGTGGGGCAGGATCCCCAACATCAACTCTGAAGGGGAGAGCAGGCCTGGTCTTAGTCCCCAACAAGTCCCCAGGGGTGGTGTGTAGATGCAATGAGGGTCTTGCATGTGCCAGGCCCCCAAGTTGGTCACTTCTCTACCTGATCTGTCATTTCACAAATGAGAAAACAGAGCCACGGAGAGCTTTGACTGGGCCCAGGGGTTTGGCTCTGAGTCCTTCTGCCTGCCTGGCTCTGTCTGACTTCCAAGCCTGTGCTCTTCCCACTAGGAGCTCTGGTAGCATAGTGCCTAAGGCATTTGACTGCTAACCAGAAAGCTGGTGGTTCAAACCCACCAGCCACTCTTCAGAAGGAAGGTTGGGCAATCTACTTCCGTAGTGATACTGCCTCGGAAACCCAAGGAGGGGTGGCTATGAGTCGGGGCCCACTCGACGGCACATAACAACAACAACAACAACAGCTCTTCCCACTAAGGCATGTTGAGGTGGTGAGTTCCCCACCACTAGAGATGTCAGACAACCACATCTTAAGCAAGTCAGAGTGGCTTTTGGGATCCCATCCAGCCCTGTTTCTGGAATTCTTAGATTCCTCCCTCTCCCAGAACATTTCCTGGTTCAGGATTTGGGTCAAGGTCAAGAATGTGGTAGGGGGCACCTAACCCCAGGCACGGCTTGAGGAGCCCAGAAGGCTGCCAGGGCTGGCAGGATCTGTGCTGTGGGGGAGAGAACATCCCAGCTCTGAGGCATGCAGCCTGGGTTCCCATCCAGGCTCTGCCACTGCCAGGCTGTGTGACCCTTCGGCCCTTAGTCACCCTACCCGCACAGTGGGCACAGACAGGCTGTCTTGCTGCTGTGTGGGTGCCTTACCAGGTAAGCACCAGGCACAGAACCTTGACTCAGTCCTAAGTCAGGACCAGGTGTGGAGGCAGCTCAGAGAGCCCAGCAATGGGCATGGAGAGGGAGGGTAACACAGGGAGGTAACACCCCAGCTCCAGCGCTGGGGTGGGTGGGGTGGGCCCAGTAGGCTCCTTGAAGCTGATTTTGCTGGTACAGAAAATGTATTTGCCCTACTACTTCCTGTGAGACACACAAAAGGAAAGGATTGAGTGTGAGTGTGAGTATGGGTGTGTGTATATATATATATATGCATGTGAGTGTGAGTGTGTACACTCACAATGTGTGAAAGTGTGTGTGCATTCATGTGTGTGTATGTATGAGCATGTGCAGATGTATAAGTATGAGTGTACATGTGGATGTATATGTGTGTGATGTGTATGCATGCATGAGTGTGTGTGTATGTGTCTGACACCCACATACACAGCAACACTCTCCCAACTCCCAGCCGTTATCAGCCTATAACATGAAGCTGGAGTAATCCTGAGACACGCCAATCCCAGGACCATGGTAGAGATACTGAATCCAGCTGGGAGCAGACACCCCTGGGCAGGATGGGAGAGGATAGAGTTGAATCCCTGTTCACAACTGCACGTGGCATTTGTGAAGCCCCTCCCAGTACATCTGTCTCTCAGCTGTCCCCCAGCCCCGAGGTGCCAGCACCACTGAGCAGCTGAGTGTGAGGGCTCTGGACCCTGACTACCTGGTCCACATTCTGTCCCAACCACTTTCTGGCAATGGGACCTCAGACAAGTTCCTTAAGTGCTCTGGGCCTCATTCTCCACATCTGTAAAATGGGGATGATAATAGCACCTTGTAGTAGAGTGGCCATGAGCACCAATGAGTTAATGCTTGAAAGGGGTTTTAGACAAGGCAAGTCCTCCACAAATCCCGACTGTCATGGTTATTTTCTCAGGGCTGTGAGGGCTTCAGGTAGGAATGTGGGTAACACATTGTACTTGGTACTTGAGCACATGGCAGCCCCCTTCGCTCTCTTGCAGTTCTGCCCATGGCCCAGGGCAGCCTGTTCAACCTCAAGTCCATGGTGGAAGGCATCACGGGGAGAAACGCCATCCGGACCTTTGTGGGCTACGGCTGCTACTGCGGGCTGGGGGGACGAGGCCTGCCCATGGACGGGGTGGACTGGTAGGTTCCAGAGTGGCCAGGCACCTGTGGGGGATGGGGCTTGGGCAGCAGAAGGTCACATCTCTCTCTGCTTCTGAGAGATGGCAGAGGGCCCTTTCCCCAAAGGATGAAGCTTGTTTGGTGAGTTTGTGACCAGAAGCCTGACCTTTGACTTGTGGCATCTCCAGCTATTTTAGACACTTTCTTTTCTGTATCCCCATGGTCTCAGGCTTGAAGTCACTTTCACTAGCAAGGGACCCAAAGGTCAATAGTCACATAATTAAGATGCCCTACACAGGCAAAGACTGTGATGCCCAGTCTCATCAGATTGGAGGTGCTGGAGGACAAGGGTTGTTCTTCCTCCGTCAGGCTGGGAGCTCCCAGAGGCCATGGCTTGTCCTCTGCTCCTACCTTCCAACAGCAACCAGCACAAGTCTCCTATCACTGGGAGCCTACTAAATGCGTGTTGGCCTCCATTGACTTCACTCCCCCCAAGGTGATAGGAACAGACATTTGCTTCCTGTCTCCAAAACCCCCATCTCAACTCTCCAGACCTTTGTCCCTCTCTGGCCATCATGTACAGCCAGGGCCAGCTCTGCACAGAGTCAGTGCTGTTTTGACATAGATCCCCTCCCTCCTACCCTGATCACACTGCTGAACCACCTAACCCTCCTGAAGCTGCATCCAGGGCCCCAGTAAGCTGGGAGCCCTGGGAGGATAGGACAAACAGGCAGGATTGCAGACAGAAACTGGGGTGTTGCCCCAGCTCTGCCACTGCCTGGCTGTATGACCTCAGGTAAGCAACTGTCCCTCTCTGGGCCTCAGTCTGAAAGTCCGACCAACAAGGGCCTGGAACAGTTGATCAAAGTGTCTGTGCCAGTGGGGCACTACCTCTCCTCTGCCTGCCCATAGGTGCTGCCATGCCCATGATTGCTGCTACCAGAAGCTCTTTGACCTGGGCTGCCACCCCTACATGGACCATTATGAATACACCATCGAGAATAATACCATTGTCTGCAGTGAGTCCCTCTCCTACTGTCTGGGCCCCAGGGGAGGGCCATGGACTGCCAGCCCCACCCCCTGTGGTGGGACCTCAGGCAGGATTGTCAGATGAAATACAGTTAAATTTGAATTTCAGATAAACATGAATAATGTTGTAATATAACATGCTATTGCATGGAATACACTTGTACTACAAAGTTAAATATTCATCTAAAATTAATTCATCTACGTACAAGGTGAATCACTATCAGTATAAAATGAAGTATTACTACAGGTAAAGAAACCAAAAACCAAACACTGCCATCAAGTCAATTAGACTCATAGAGACCCCTCCTTGGGTTTCTGAGGCAATATCACTATGGAAGTAGATTGCCCAGTCTTCCTTCTGAGGAGTGGCTGGTGAGTTTGAACCACCAGCCTTCTAGTTAGCAGACAAATGCCTTAGGCACTATACCACAGAGATAGTATAGGTAGGACCCGTGCAAAATTTTTCTCACTTACTTAGGTCATGTTGTCAGAAGGGAGCTTGGTAGAGTGTCAGTGAAAAAGGGGAAGACCCTTAATGAGATGGATTGACACAGTGGCTGCAATGATGGGCTCAAGCACAGCAGATTGTGGGGCTGGCACAAGACCAGGCAGTGTTTCATTCTGTTGTATGTAGGGTCATTATGAGTCAGAGCCAAGTCAATGGCACCTAACAACAACAATGCAACATTTGGGAGATATTTATACTAAAACATTATTGGGTGTATATTTAAGGTGGTCTGGTAGCGTAGTGCCCAAGGCACTTGACTGCTAACCAGAAGGCTGGTGGTTCAAACTCACCAGCCACTCCTCAGAAGGAAGACTGGGCAATCTACTTCCATAGTGATACTGACTCAGAAACCCCAGGAGGGGTCACTATGAGTCAGGTCTGACTCGACAGCACATAACTACAACAACATCTGACATTTAAGTTTAACCTGGTGTCTTGTTTTTGTTTTGTTTTGCTTTTTTTGCTAAATCTGACAACTTAGCCATGGAGCTTTAGTAGGTCTCTGATGTGCTCAAATCCCCAAGCCTGGACTGGACACCTGGTTCTCCATCCCCATGACTCTTAACCATCATTCTTAGGGGGTGACGCTGGTTTTCTGAGGCCAGGTGGGGCCCAAGAATCCATGTTTTTAACCAGAATCCTTGGTGATCCTGAGCCTGCTCTTCTGTGAGCCTGACTTTGCAAATCACTGGCCTGGGAGGTGGAAGCCTTGGGCTTAATGTCCCTGCCTATCAGTTTCCCCGCGGCCCCACACAGAAACTCAAGTCTCCTGATCTCTAGGAAAGAGTCTGGTGGTGGCCCCATTTGTGGTCCCTTGGGAGTGGCTAAGGCATGTGACTGCTAACCAGAAGGCCAGCAGTTCAAACCCACCAGCCACTTCACAGAAGGAAGATGGGGCAATCTACTTCTAAAGTGATACTGCCTCAGAACCCCAAGTACAAGGTGAATCACTATCAGTATAAAATGAAGTATTACTACAGGTAAAGAAACCAAAAACCAAACACTGCCGTCAAGTCGATTAGACTCATAGAGACCCCTCCTTGGGTTTCCGAGGTTGCTATGAGTTGGATCCAGCTCAATGCCAGTGAGTTTTTCTTTTTTTTTTTTTTTTTTTTTTTTTTGTGGTGGGAGCCCATGGCTGTGTGGTCCTCATATTCTACAGTTTAAACATAGGGAAGGGGAGGGGCTAGCTTGAGGGTGTGGTGTCCCTCATTAAAGGAGTTCAAGAAAAGACAGACTCCTCCACCCCAAAAGATGATGGATTACCCTAAAGCAGTGGTCTCTACCCCCAGTTCTGGAGACTCCTGGAGGCACCAGAGGCTGCTGCTCCACAGGGGGTACCCCTGAGGAGTCTCACTGGCTCCTGATGTATTTTATTATTACATTGTTTTTCTCTCAGCTGTTTGCTATGTGATCCTTCTGCAAAGAGTTTCAGGTAAGAGAAAGAATTCTGCTGATGGAAGGTTTGAAAGGTTGCAAACCACTGACCGACTCTGTGGTTCTCAAAGTGTGTTTCCTGGCCCAGCATCAACAGCATCACCAGGGAAACGGTTAGATATGCAAATTCTAGGACCCAGCCAGCCCTGCTGATGCAGAAGCCCTACAGGTGGGGCCCAGTGGTTTGTGTTTTAGCAAGACCTCCAGCTGATGCTAGTGTATACTCAAGGTTAAGACCACTGGGCCAGATGATTTCTGGGGGCTAATAACAGCAGCAGCAGCAGCAGATACTATGTATCAAGCACTTACTTAAGGAGCAGTGGTGGTACAGTTGGTTAAGCACTTGGCTGCTAATTGAAAGGTTGGTTTTTCAAACCCAGCAGCAGCTCTGCAGGAGGAAAACCCAGCAATCTGCTCTCGTAAAGATTTACAGCCTTGGAAACTCTATGGGGCAGTTCTACTCTGTTCTATAGTGTTGCTGTGAGTTGGAATCAACTCATTGGCATCTAACAACAAGTGCTAAGCATTGCTCTTTGCAAGCATTTTCTCACTCAGGCCTCACCATCTCCCCCAGGTGGGCATTCTGAGGCCCTGGGAGTGAAGACAGGAGGCTGGGGAAGCACAGAGTCACTGATCTGGGGATGGAGGCTCTTGACACCTGAGCTTCTGTCCCAGCTCTGCCTCTAACTCACTGGGGGACTTAGACACCCCTGTTCCTGGACCTCAGTTTCCCTAGCTAAAGAAATGCCCCAGTGACCAGGTTGGACTTCTCTAACTTCAGTGAGCATCATAGTCACCTAGAGGGCTCATTCCTCAGCCCTAGGTGGGGTCCACAGGTGATGCTGATGCCTATGGCCCAGGACCACCTTTGGAAAAGTACAGGACTCCGTGAGTCTGTGCTCTCCCTCTCTCTCTCCCCTCGTCCTGACTGGGCTGTCACCCCTTCACCCACAGCCTTTGCCCTCTCCCCATCCCCCACAGGTGAACTCAACCAGACCGAGTGTGATCAGCAGACATGTGAATGTGACAAGAACATCAGTCAGTGCTTCCAGAAACAGGCGTACAATGAAGAGTATCGCAACTACCTCAACATCTACTGCCAGGGCTCCACGCCCAACTGCAGCATCTATGAGCCGCCCCCTGAGGAGATTGCCTGCAGACACATCTCCCCAACGTCTGCCGTGCCTCCCTAGCACTCTCTCGGGTCTGAGAGAGAAGTGGGGTTTCTGGTTCTGGGACCAGGCAGATGGAGCATGTGTTGGGGGGCAGGTGGGGAGCCCAGAGTCTGCTCTGCAGCTTCCTCCCTTGCCCTGGCCCCTGGCCCCCACACTCCTCCAGCCCAGCAGCCGGGCGTGGCTGCAGTCTGCTGCTGGTCCCAGACTTGGTGGGAAGCATGTGGCCTCTGCCAGGGTATGAAGGAAGAGGCCTCAGAGGAGGGTGGTGGCCTCCCATGCTGGCCCAACTGGGCACCCTCAGCCAGGTACAGCCTGGCATAGACCCCAAGCTTGTATTCCAAGCAGTGCTGGTCCTGAGGTGCTAGCTGAATCCCCACTCACATAGCCCCACGCTGGGCTTCATCAAGGTGGCACGGGAGCCAGGCCCAGACACCACAGGATGTCCACAATGCTTAGTGTCCCAGCTCTGAAGTTCCACCTTAGCTCCCCAAACTGTCTCAGAGCAGAAACACTGGCAGAAGCCATGTACACCGTGACATTCCCCTATGTGCACAGGGACTAAGATGGGGCACCTCAGAGGCCCCTCAGCACACACAGAGGACTCCTGTGGACACAGTCATGTGGAGGTGCCCAGCCCTGCAGGCCTGCACTGCTTGAAGGGGCACCTGACTCCAGGTTCTGACAAACACCAGAGGGGCAGGGCCCAGCCCTCCAGAACCTCCCTTGCTGCCACACCTCGGGCAGCAGCCGGGCCTGAGGGCAGAGCCCTCTGGGGGTGAAGGGGCTGGTGGCTCCATGAAGGGAAACAAAGTCAGGAGGGAGAGGGTAGGGTGGGGAGGCAGCGGGAGGCAGAGGCAGGAGAAGATGGGAGAGGTGAGACAAGGTGGGGTCAGATGTCCAGATGAAGAGGGGCCACTTGGCAGGAAAAGGAGAGAAGTGGGGTGGGGAACCGTGTGGGGCCTCCTTAGCCCGCTTGTGTTTAGGGCCTGTGGAACGGTGGGATTGAGGGCCTCAGTGGGGCCAGTTCTTCTTGACACCGTGCCCAGCACTGTCGTCTCTCCAGGTACACCTGCCCTGCTCTTCCCTTGCTTCATCCCTTGACCTCAAGGTCAGTGGCCTCCTGGCAACCAGGCCGCCCTGCCTCCCATCCACCAGCTCCTTGACCAGGTGTCAACCTCGAGGATCCTCTGCAGTGGACAAGATGCCTATGAACAAGATTGTAGGACAGGACAGAAGCCTCCCCACAAAGCAGCTTCTAGAAATCCCACCTTAGGAACTAAGGATGAGCCTGTGGCTGGGGCCAGCTGTTGCTATGTGTGGAAGAGACCCTGCCACCTGCTGGCCATAGTGGGATGGTCATGGTGGCTGTGTTCCCTGGCCTCTACCTTTCTGTTCCTGAAACGTCCTCGTCCACCCTTGAAGGATCCCAGCTGACAGAATGCCCTTCTCCATGTTGCTGTCCTGTGTTGGCTAGCCCACATCTCTGGGGTGGAACCACACCAAGCCAGGGATGAAGCTGGGAGGAGGAACCTGGAAGTGGTGACTGCAGAGGCCATGGTCCCTTGCCTGCACCCAGGCTCTGGGGAGCTCTGGTTTCTGGTTGTGCCTCTCCACAAGCGCACACCCCTCACTTCTGAATGTCAGAATCACAAAGCTGGGGTGAGAGTCTGCTGCTAAGAGTCCTACCCATCCCTCACCCCACCCCAGACTCAGTACACCCTCCTTAAACCAATAAAGGCCGCCTGCCTCCAGTCCCCATTGCTGGGCCCTCCTTGGCACGGCACCTACAAGGTGAATCACCCCCGGGTCTCCAGCTCTGGGGAAAGTGGCTTCCTGACACCCAGAAGTTGGCATGGCCTACCCCTCCCCTGCCCCAGCAGAGGCAAAGGTGGGAAAGAGGCACTGTGGCTACCAGCACACAGTCCGTAGTTGGACAATGAGACAGTCACCGAAGCTAAATGCTTCTCGGGCCTCCATCTTGGCAGTGCTCTCCCTCCATTCCACCCTTTCCTGTTGAACAACTGAGGCCCAGAGAGGGACGGCAGCTTGCTCCAAGTCACACAGGTGATAAGGTATGGGGTTGAGATCTGATTCTTCAGTATCTGATTACAGCCCCTCTTCCTCACCCCTCCTTAATGGTGATCTGGCAGCCAGCCAGGACAGTGGAAGGACCCAAAGGCCTGGATATAAGCTGCTTGGGCAGTGCTGTCACTAGGGTTAGTGTCACCCAACTCCCCAAGGACCTTGTCCTGTACCAAACCATACAGAATCCTTAGTAATGTTTTGTGTACTAAAGTTACTCGAAATTCCTAATCCCTGTGTCCCACTGAATGTAATAGCAATAGTAGTGACATAAACAACTAGCAAAATTAAAATTACACTAGTGCATGCAGACAAACCCATGTGATTTAAAGGGTCACTGTAATTAGGTAATAATGACAGCTCTGACTGGAGCACATTAAAAAAACAAACTCACTGCTGTCGAGTCAGATCTGACTCATAGCAACCCCTCCTTGGGTTTCTGAGGCAGTATCACTATGGAAGTAGATTGCCAACCTTCCTTCCGAGGAGTGGCCGGTGGGTTTGAACCGCCAGCCTTCTGGTTAGCAGTCAAATGCCTTAGGCACTACACCACCAGAGCTTCCTTGGAGCACATTGTTGTTGTTGTTATATGCTGTGGAGCCAGACCCGACTCATAGCGACCCCTCCTTGGGTTGCCTAGGCAGTATCGCTACAGAAGTAGATTGCCCAACCTTCCAAGGAGTGGCTGGTGGGATTGAACCGCCAGCCTTCTGGTTAGCAGTCAAATGCCTTTAGGTACTAAGCTACCAGAGAAGATTCAAAAAGTAAGTTAGCATAGAGTTTTAGCTTTGTAGGTCTATTGATACATGTAAGCTGGGCTTATGGAAAATATTTTTGCTGTTATAACTAACTACAGGAATATTTTTATAAAAAAATATTTCTTCTGAAACACTGCACAAATACCTCATGGATAGTCATTTTGGTGTCACCTCCCTCTGACAGTGTCATCTGGTATGGTCTACACTCTTCTTATTCCCCTAGTGATGCTACTGCGCTCAGGGTTTCCCTCCCAGCTCTGCTGCTAATGTAGGCCAAGCTTTGATGATCCCATCTGTGAAATGGGAATACATCCCAGCTCTGAAGGGTTATAGGCTTGTCATGACCGCCCACTGATACAATGGGCGGGAAAGGGCTTTTCGAGATGAGTGGTGAGTGGGGGGGGACAGTGGGGTGGGGGGTGGGGTAGATTGTTAGCATCCTGATCTTGAGTTTGGAGGCCAGATGCTCATTAAACGTGAAAGTTGGGTAGTGAGAGAGAGACCAGGGGAAGGATGTGGCTGGTCAGCAGGGTCCTGGGTCCTAATTCTGTTTCATCTTTGACTCCAGCTCCTTCTCCAC